TTGGGCCAGCACGCCCAAAGGAAGGTGCAGAGCTACCCCAGTGGTGACACAGGTGCCAGGGCTCTGCCCCACCACAACAGACAGCACACATAGGGTACTGTGGGCCTAGTTTATTAGTGTCCATGCAGCTGTCCTGACTATTGATCCACGTTCTTGACACGCAGGACCACAGGCACCGAGGTGCAGGGGATCATGCCCAAGTCCGTGATGACCAGATCCACCAGGTCTGGGGGTGTCACATCATAGACCAGGTTGAGGAGACGCAGGGACTTGTTCTCGGCCCAGCCCCCCAGCTGGGCCTGGCCCTTCCGGAGCACAATCAGGTCATCGGGGTCATCTGTGGAGAGAGAAGCAGCCGGCAGGATCAGGGGGAAGGATAGCACCTCTCCATCCTGCCCTGGGAGCACACACTGCTGCTGCCTGCCAGGCCCCCCTGACTACGAGTGGTGTCCCCTCGCCCAGAAAGCGGAATGGCAGGGCAGAGCAGCCTGCTGTGGTCCACAGCAGGGAGTGGGATGACATCCTAGGTGGGAGGAAGGGGACAGAAGCCATACCCAGCTCATTGGAGACAAAAGAGTCTGTCTGCACTCGCTCACAGAACTTGTAGGTCTCACAGCAGACCAGGACGGGCACGTTGTAGGCCTTGGAGACCAGCGCGATCTGCGATGTCCCCACCCGGGACATGACAGAGCCGTTGGCCAGGAGCGCGTGGGCTCCCAGCAGCACTTTGGACACCTGCCGGGGCAGCACAGGGATCTGTCAGCACCTTTGATCGTGCTGCAGCCTGCCCCGCGCCCGGCCCCGGCCCAGCCCCTCACCTCGGGCAGCACGTAGGAGATGGCGTTGATCATCACGTAGGTGCAGTGGATGCCCTTGCGCACCAGCCGGCGCAGCGTCTCCCGGCCCTCCAGGCGCGGCCGGCTGTCCACCACGACCACGCGGAACGCGCGGCCCTTCTTCGCGTGGGCGTCGCACAGCGTGCGGTTCACCAGGGAGGAGCTGACGGGCACCGTCAGGACCTGCCCCCTCACGCCAGGCCAGGCTCTCACCCAGCCACAACGTCCACCCTCGCCCTCACGAGTGCTGCCCCTTCCAGAACCTTCCTGCCACGACGGCTCCCAGGGCCCCTCTCCCTGTCTCTGCACAGGGAACCACCCCTGGGAAAGCGGACATCTCAGTCCTCCCTGAAGCAGCACTGACCTCCCCATCTGTAACCATCATGACGTTCTCTACCTCTCCAAACTCTCTCCCAGTTTCCCTCTCCCAATGCTCCAGGCCCGCACTGGCCTCCTGCCCCTGCTCTTTCCTCCATCCAGGACACACATCACACCTGGACTCTTGCTGCAGCAGTCTCTGGCTCCTTTTCCCACCTCTACTTCCTGGGACATAGGCCTCCCAAGGAAGAATAAGCTCATATATTTTTGCTTTCTGACATTTGACTTTGCTGCAGCTTGTTTAAAATCCAGTGAACAGCCACGACTGCTCTGCAAGTGCCCCGGGTGGAGGGAAGCTGTGACTCTGGGGTTCTTGGAACCCAACTCTGGACACACCAGATGAGACAGAGCCAAGCCCTGCATAGGACTAGCACAGCCTCACTTCCCGTGCTCACTTCCGTGCTGTTCCATTTCCTCCTCCCACCCACTGGCCTGGTTGCTCGTGCTCTGTGCTCACCATCCATACACCAGGATCACGTCATGGTCATTGATCTTCTCAAAGGCAGACCTTGAGATGGCTTCAGCTGCCAGGACAATCTTCTCCCGCAGGTATTTGTCAATTGTGTCCTGCAGCTTCTCCTTTGCCTGGGGAGACACAGACATCCCATACAGACCTTCTCACTCTCTGCAGCTCCCTGTTGGAGCCAGATGGGGGTTGGTCTCTTCTCCAAAGTAACATGCTTCCAACTCCACTGAAGCACCATTCCCAGTCTGCATCCCACCCTTGCTCCCAGTCTGCATGCCACCCCACTCCCCATTCAGCCTCTCCACCCCGGGCCTAGAGCCTGCTGCTCAGCAGGGCCACTCACCTCCTCCTCTCGCAGGGTGTCAGGCAGGCACGAGATCTCCTTCTTGAGGAACTTGATGGCGTTGCCCATGCTGGCCGAGAGCGGCCGGCACTGGTTCAGGAAACTGCAGAGGAAACTGGTTTAGTTACAGAGCAGCCTGGAGGGCCAGGACAGGGACAGGAAGGGTGGGCAGGGAGGTAGAACTGCAAGGAAGTCACCTGAAGTTTGAGTGGACACCTTTCCAGAGAGGTGATTGATGGACCACGCTCCGTGGAGCTTTGGCACCTGGAGCCCTCACCTGATATGTGGCTTCAGCTTCGCCACCAAGTCCCGAGACAGCTCCTCGTTGGGGGGAGTGGAGTAATCCCGGATCAGCTGGCACAAGAAGGAAGGGAGCATGAGCTCAGGGCACCTCAGGGTAGGGCAAGCGACCACCCTGCCCAAGGGGCTGCAGCCCAAGCACGTGTGTGTCCTGCATAGCCTGACACTCTGCCACTGTGGGGCAAAGGGTGTCCTAGCAACTCAAATCTGCAGTGCCAGTGCCAGAACAGAACCTCAGCAGGGCCCACAACCCAGAGGAAGAGGCTGCTGATGACTGAGTATAAATACAGCCTCAGCAGTCAGGGAACAGGAACACACACCTGTGCCTGCCGCAACGCCCCTGCCGCCAGGTATCTGCTCACATACCTGTTTGAAGACTTCCAGCAGCGCGATGCAACGGGCATTGGAGCCGTTGATGATGCCCTGGGAGTACTGGAGGCCAAGGCGCATCACTGCTGGGTGGATCACCGTGGAGGGGATGCTGCAGGGACCAGTGGGAGGGAGCTGTCTGCACCTCTGCAGCCCAAAACAACCAACCCATTGCTGGCCCCCAGCCCAACCACCCGAGGGACAGCCCAGGAAGAGAGCTGGCAGTGACCTGAGGAGCCAGGTTCACCCCGCAGCCCCTTCTCCTGTGGCCGAACTCACTGCACAGGGAGGACATCAGGCTGCCCCTGCCACCGCTCCCCAAAGCAAGTGAAAGGGTCCCCCACCACCCCATCAGGCCTATCCCACATGCAGGACCAAGACACCCCATCTCTCTGCAGCCAGGCCAATAGGCCAGTAACAGCAGAGCCCAACATTGCCAGGGGCCTGGGCTGGGGAGGCCTCATACCTCATCTGCTGCGTCAACGGCTTCTTCCTGCTGTACTGGTGCAGGTGGGAGAACAGGTTGACTTTGGTGCCATAGTCCTGCCTCAGAGGTACCTGCAGCCCAGTGTGATGGCTCAGCCAGGGTCGCCAGAGAGCCCTGCTCACTCCAGGGCCACCAGTCACACCCAGCACTTGCTCAAGGCACGCCAAGATCCCCTCTGCCCTCAGAGAGCAGGTCCCAGTCCCACCACGTGCCCCCCCGGCTCCCACAGCACGGCTGCCCCAGGCACGCAGCCTGTCATCCAGCCCTCCTCCTACCTGCTGCCGCTCCAGCTTCTTGGCCAGTTTCCTCTGGGCAGCGGGGTCATCCACCTGCACGTGCTCCGGCAGCCGCTTCACCACTGCGAGGAAAGCCGGGGTGAGGCCAAATTGCCCTGGAGCACCCCCAAATTCAGAGAAGGCAGGGCAGGGCAGGATCCAGGGACAGGTATGACCCACACTACAGATGGATTGCATAGGCAGCCGCAGCCTGTGCCCACCCCAGACCCTCCCTCCCCGCTCACCCACCCTCTGCACCCTGTGGTGACCATGGCCTTACTGGACTGGGGCTCGGTGGGGCTTGGCCGGGGCTTGGCTGCAGTGACTGCCTGGCTCAGCTCTGCCTTCCTGGCCTGCTTCTGGGCCCGCTCAGCCTCCTGCTTGGCCCGGCGCTCTGCTCGCAGCTCCGCTTTGCTCTTGCCTGCCGCGGGCTTGTTGCCGTCGCTGGGGCCATCGGCCGAGGCCGGGGGGGACGCGGGGTGAGCGGCTGCTGCGGGGGAGGGAAAGGGGAGTCTGTACCCAGCCTTCATCGCCGGGAGATGCAGCCCAGTGAGAGGCAGGGAGAGCCCTCTGTGCCAGAGGCTGCCCTGGGAGAGGGCACCTCAAGCACCTCGCAGCCCCGGGCGGCCCCGCGCTCCTGCGGGGAGGGGAGTGGGCTCTCTGCTCCTCAGTCCCTGCGGGAACGCGGGTGTGCGGGGCCGCAAGGGCTGGGACTGGGCTGCGGCGCGGGGGGACGCCCCGGCGGTCCCGCTGGAGGACGCTCCCGGCCCAGGGCGCTGCCGGCCAGGGAGACCCCCGCGTCCGGCCCGGCGCTGCCCCGCCCGGGGCTCTGCGGGGACGGCGGCGCTCACCCGGCGGCTGCCCCGGCTCGGGGGGCGGCCCCAGCTCCGCGGGCTCGGCCGACGGCCCCTTCTCACTCCTCTTTTTCTTCTTCTGCTGCTTCTTCTCCTTCCGCAGCTGCAGCTTCTCCTCTCGGGAGAGCTCCGGGGCCTGCGGGCACACACCGTCAGGCGGCCCCGGCTCCGCACCGGCCCCGGCCCGGCTCATCTGCGGTCCCGCCGGCATTGGCGCGGCTCCCTCGGGGCCCGCACCTGGAAGGAGGGCAGCGTGAGCGGTGCCGGTGCCGGTGCCCCGGATCCCCGGATCCCGTCCCGCACTCACCCTCCCGCTCCGCCATGGCGCCCGCCCGCAGCGCCCCCTGCCGGCCGGAGGCTGCTCCGCGTGACTCCCGTGACGTCATCGTCCCCGCGTGACGCACGCTGACGTCACTCCGCGGCCGGGGCGGTGCCGGTCGGTCCCGGGTCCGGTCCCGGGGGTCCCTCCCGCTGCCCCGCCCCCCCGGTCCTGCCCCCGCGGCTGCCGCGGCGGGCCCGGCCCGTTCGGGCCCGCGCTCAGCCCCGCGCGGCGGGGGCGCTGCGGGGCCGCTGGGGCGCTGCGGGGCCGCTGGGGCGCGGCGGGGCCGCCCCGGGCGGGCGGAGCGGGGCGGAGCGGGCCGGGCGGGGCGGCCCCGGGCGGGCGGAGCGGGGCGGCCCCGGGGCGGGCGGTGCCGCCGGCCGCGCCATCGCGGGGAGCGCCGGCCCGAGATGGCGGCGGCGGGAGGCGGGTAGAGAGGGCGCGCTCGGCCCGGCCATGCACTTCTCCATCCCCGAGACCGAGACCCGCGCCGGGGACGGCGGCGCCGCCGCCTACGTGGTGAGCGGGGCCGGGGGAGAGGAGCCGTCCCTCGGAGCAGAGCGGGCGGCGCGGCCCGGGTGCGGTGCGGCCCCGGTGGGGCCATGCGGGCCCGCAGCCCCGGCGCGGTGGCGGTTCGAGATCAGGATCGGGACCGGTGCCGGTGCCGGGCGAGGCTGCAGTCCCCGGCCCGCCGCAGTCCCCGGCCTGCGCCCCGTGCCAGGGCCGGGCGAGGATCGGGCTCCGCCGCGCCCCGGGAGCAGGTGTGGGGGTCCCTGGGCCCGCCCCGGGGGTGCCCGGCCCTTGCCCTGCCCGGGGCGCCGCGGGCGGGGGTGGCAGCGCGCACGGGCCCCGTCCGGTCCCATCCCCGGCCGCGGCTCATCCTGGCCCGCCCGTCCGTCTGTCCAGGCTTCCTGTTTTGCTCCGTGCCCTGCGCCGTGAGCGCCTCGGGAGCGGGGCCGGGGTACGCTGCGCTGCCGGACGGTGGCGGCCACGGGGTGCCCGGACGCCCCCCGGGGCCGGCAGTAGCGGGCAGAGCCCCCGGGGTGGGTGGTGGCTCCGGGACGGTGCTCTCGGGGTGAAGGTGGGCAGCCCTGGGCTCCACGGTCCCGCGGGGACCCTCCGGTGCCGAGATCCCTCTCCGGAGGATTCCCCTTGGGAGCCCGAGGTGGGGTGTGAGGGCACGGACACGGTGGTGAGCAGCGATGGAGGGACCTGGCGATTGCAGGAGCTGCGGTTGCACAAGACTGGAGGAGCAGGCAGCCCCCGAGATGTTTTGACGCCATGACCCCCTGCACTTTGCCCTCGGCAGTCACAGTGGCTCTTTGGGCAGGGGGAGACCTCAGGAGAGCCCTTGGGCAGGCCAGGGACTGGGCAGGAGCCGTGACCCCACGGAGGGCCCTGAGTTGGGCAGGTGTGAGTGCTGCCTGGACCACCCGTGTCCCTCCTGGTCCCTCTGCGGGGACCTTGAGACACCGGGCTGGTGCCTTTGGGTTGGGAGATGCCAGTGTGAGCTACAGTGTGGCTGTGCCATTGCCTCTGCTGAGCCTGGGCAGCCCCAGCGCTCAGTCAGGAGGGCACTGGGGGCAACCACAGGAGGCTGGGCTGCCATGGCTGGCTGGAGGCTCATCCTCCCATCCTACCAAACACTGCTCTGAGGACGGCAGGAGCTGAGGGGACAGTGCTGTCCCCTGGGAGGACGTTGCCCGTGGCGCCGGGAGCTGGGCTGTGGAGTTGCTGGGCCCAGAGCACTTGGCAGCCAAAGCTCTGCTCTGCCTGTGGCGTCAGAGGGAGCTGAGCCAGGGCAGAGGGGGCACCAAGAGGCACAGCCAGGAACCACCTCCACGGGGTGCCCTGGGAGCTGGGAGGGGTGGCATTGCCTCCTGGCTTGGGGACACTCGTGTCTGTGGGGCTGCAACGTGGCTCTGTGCTCCCTGTAGCTGGGCAGTCACGGGGTTGGGCCTTCCTGGTGTCCAGCACACACATCTCTTGAATGTGCTCATTCTTCCTGAATGGTTTTGACAATCTGTCCCTTGACAGGGTCCTCAGGGGCGTCGCCTCTTCCTGGGTGCTCCCTGAGGTGTCCTGTGTACCTCGAGCTGGGCAGACCCTGGCCCCCTCCATCTGGCGTGTGCTGGGATCTGACTGGCATCTCTCCCTGCAGGCCTACAACATCCACGTGAACGGGGTGTTGCACTGCCGGGTGCGCTACAGCCAGCTCCTGGGGCTGCACGAGCAGGTAGGGAGGGTGGGGGGAGCTGCGCTGCCCACTCCTGCTCTGTGACATCCCGACTGAGTTCTTGCACACTGCAGGTTGCCCACGTGGCTAAGGGATGCTGGTGAACTCTCTGCTCCCCTTGCTGGGTCCCTGGGAGTCAGCTGTGGTGGGGGCTCGGGGGCCACCACGTCCAGGGAGGTTCTCGCAGCACTCCGCTCTTTTCCCAGTTAAGGAAGGAGTATGGTGCCAACGTGGTCCCAGCCTTTCCCCCAAAGAAGATCTTCACGCTCACCCCGGCGGAGGTAGAGCAGCGACGGGAGCAGCTGGAGAAGTACATGCAGGCTGGTAAGCTGGCCTGCCTGCCCCAGCCCAGTCGTGCAGGGCACTGAGGCACTGCCCATGGCTTCTTCCTGAACTGCTCCATTCACCAGGGCCCATCTTGGCACTCCCGGTGTCACGCTGGCATTAGCTGGGCTTGTCCTCTGGATGCCAGCTGCTGTCCCAGCCCCTGCCCTGCGCAGGCAGAGGGGGGCCCTGCAGGGGTTCCCTGGCTGCCCCAGCACAGTCTGGGGGCAAACCGAGGAGTGCAGAGGGGCTGGGCACTGGTGTGGGTCCCTGTCCCTTCTCAGGGACTCCTGATTCCTCGCTCCCCTTCCCGCAGTGCGGCAGGACCCGATGCTGGGAGGCAGCGAGACCTTCAACAGCTTCCTGCGCAAGGCCCAGCAGGTGAGGGTGGGGCCAGGACAGGGGCCCTCAGGCTGCACCCAGGGGCCGGGGTGCCAGTCCTGCTTCTCTCTCCAGGAGACGCAGCAGATCCCTACGGAGGAGGTGGTGCTGGAAGTGCTGCTCTCCAATGGGCAGAAGGTCAAGGTCACCATCCTCACCTCGGACCAGACGGAGGACGTCCTTGAGGTGCCAGAGCTCTCATGCTGGGTGTGACCAGCTCCTCCTGCTGCATTCTGTGGTTTCCCACATGTGTGGGGTTCTCGCAGCCCAGCAGCCCCCCCCCGGCCCTCCTTGCCACATCCCCACCCCAGAGCAGGGTTGACTTGGTGGGACTGAAGAGCTAGGAGCTGGAAAGGGTGTGCTGATGGGCGTCTCTGGGGCCACATTGATGTCGAGGGGGCCCCCAGCTGTTTCCTGGTGGCAGTGACGCCCCAGGCCTGGCCTCAGGGCAGCAGAGGTGCTGGCTTCCTGCTGTTGAGAGGCCCCAGAAAGCACATGGGCTGGGTCCTACTGCAGGGTCAGGATGCAGGAGTGCCACCTCTCTCGGGAAGTGGTGACCTCCTGCTCTCACTCCCAGGCTGTAGCCTCCAAGCTGGATCTGCCAGATGACCTGGTTGGCTACTTCAGCCTCTTCCTAGTGAGAGAGACCAAGGACGGAGCTTTCTCCTGTGAGTAGAGCCCACTGCAGTGGACATCTGCCCTGTACCCTGCCCGGAGTGAGGGCTGTGTGCTTGGACCCTGCCCTGGATGGCAGGCCCAGCGGGTACCCCAGGCACCCTGGCTGAGGGGTCTGGGGGGCACTGCTGCCCCGAGCCACTGCTGACCTGGTGTTTCCCCACAGTCGTGCGGAAGCTGCAGGAGTTTGAGCTGCCATATGTGTCGGTCACCAGTCTGCACAACCCCGAGTTCCGGATCATCCTGCGCAAGAGGTGAGCGGGGGGCAGCAGTGGGGTGCTGTCTGAGGCTCCCTGTTCAGCAGAGGGACCCTGCTCTCCTGCCACTGCTGCCCACGTGGGCTTTGGCCTCCAGGAACACACTTGGCCATGACACCGGGGCATGGGCTGCCCTGCTTGGCTCAGCCCATCCCATGGCATCCTGTTTAGAGGGGGAGCAGGGCACAGTGACCAACGGTTACAGGAGAGCTGGCCAGAGAGTCAGCCTGGTGCCTCATCCCACAGGAGGATGATTTTCTCCCCATCGCTGTTAGGAGCTGGGGAATAGGTTGACCCATGTGGTTCTCTTCCAGCTACTGGGACTCGGCCTATGATGACGATGTGATGGAGCATCGTGTGGGGTTGAACTTGCTGTATGCGCAGGTGAGGGTCGGTGTGGCCCAGCCAGGTGAGGAGGGGCACTGCACCCCTCAGCCACGGCTGTGTGTGGGCTCGGGTGGCTCTGAGCCCAGCTGCTCACCAGCCTCTGCTGCTTGGTAGACGGTGTCGGACATCGAGCACGGATGGATCGTGGTCAACAAGGAACAGCACCGGCAGCTGAAGTCCTTGCAGGAAAAAGTCTCCAAGAAGGAGGTAGGGGAGGGTGTGATGCCGTGACTGGGGCAGTCCTGGTGCTGCACCAGCCCTGCTCCTGTGTGGTGCCAGGTTGGTCACCTGTTCCTGGCCTGGGTGGGCGGCCGGCGGTGCTGAGTATCCCCGGATCTGCCCGCAGTTCATCCGCCTGGCGCAGACCCTCAAGTACTACGGCTATCTCAAGTTTGACCCCTGCGTCACCGACTTCCCAGAGAAGGGCTGCCACGTCGTCGTCAGCGCTGGCAACAACGAGCTCAACTTCCAGGTGCGGCTGCCGAACGAGCAGATCAAGGAGGGCAGCTTCAAGGTCACGCGCATGCGGTGCTGGCGGGTCACGTCCTCGGTGAGTGACGCCTGGGGAGCAGGGAGGGCTCCGGGGAGGCTGGAGGGACCTGGCTGTGCCACCTCTCCCCAGGAAAGGTGCTGGCTCTGACGCTGGCTTCCAGCCCAGCAGGCCTGGGGAGGGTCCGAGTTGTGCCTTGGGGGATCGTTGGTGTGAGGACATTCAAGGGGCGAGGGGAGCTGATGGTGGCAGAAGGCTGGTGGGCACTGCGCAAGTGTTCCACGCCTGACTGAGCACTGCCCTCGGTCTGCACTGGGGCCTGGGGAGCTGCCACTTCCCCTCTGGAGGCTCCCAGCCTCAGTGTGTGCCCTCACAGGTGCCAATGAGCAACGGCCCCTCAGGGAGCAGCCCGGGGAAGTCCGAGGTGAAGCTGGAGTTGGCTTTTGAGTACCTGATGAGCAAGGACCGGTTGCAGTGGGTCACCATCACCAGCCCACAGGTAGGGCTGCCTGCATGCTGGTCTGGCAGTGGCTGTGGGGAAAAGGGTCAGTCTGGGCCTGGTGTGGATGTGGGAAGCGTGTGGTGTGTGGAGCCCCGTGACACCTCTCCCTTGCAGGCCATCATGCTGAGCATCTGCCTGCAGTCCATGGTGGATGAGCTAATGGTGAAAAAGTCTGGAGGCAGCATCCGCAAGGTGAGAGTTGGGGCTGGATGGTGTCTCCGGGGTGGGATCCTAACCTGCCCCTGTGACTTCTTGGGGTCTGGGCTGGGCCCTGAGTGCTCCCCTCAGGATGGGGCCGGCAGACAGATCCCCAGGGCCAATTTTAAGCCCCGGAGCTGCCTCCGGGGACCCTGCGGCTGAGCCGAGCTCCTCCCTGCAGATGTTTCGGCGGCGGGTGAACGGGGCCCTGCGGCGCTCGGACAGCCAGCAAGCTGTGAAGTCGCCCCCTCTGCTGGTGAGTGGGGCCCTGCGGGCCTGGGCGGGGCACATTCACAAC